CTTTCCTGGATGAATCCAGCACAATCTCAAAAACTGTAGGCAATGTAATGTTATTTAAAGTATTGAAAGAAAAAATTCTTAGCTAATGTATTTAGCTTAGATCATCCTTTGGTATGAATTTGTATCAGCTGCTGATCTGGGGCTTTGAGTTTAGATAGCTAGATATAGCTGGGTTAGAATAAACCAACACAATTTTAAAATCTACTCTACTTACAAGCAGTTTGTTTTGCATAGAATGTAATATGTGGAACTTACACGAATCCCCTTGTTTAATTCTTCACCTAGAAACTCTACAAACAGGCCATGGAAGAAGCTAAAAAGAAAGGCTATGATTTGAGAAGTGATGCCATCCCCATTCAAGCTGCCAAGGCATCCAGGCAAATTGCCAGTGATGTAAGAAACTACTCTTTTGTTTCTTTGTGAGGTGGCATCTGATTTCTGCAACCTGAAAGTTATCAGCTGGGTTCTGGAAAAGGCATTTCTGTTAAAATGTCAAATAATAAATTTTTGTGAGCAAATTTTTATGTATGTTTAATTACTTCATTGTAAAGATTAAATATTGAGAAGTTACAAGGACAATAGAATGCTGCTATCATGTTAATTTTATACCTCATAAACCTGTATCTTTAATTAAATCTTAACAGTATGCATATTAATATATCTAATAAAAATTAAACATATTTAATAAGGAGAGGATTATTTCTCACTAATATTAGTGAAGAGTTTTTTAAAAAAACAGTATTTAGGATTCTAACTGAAGTCTCAGAAATTTAACGTGAGAATCCATGTTATTAGCCATGGAATTGCTTTGACAATTTCATTTTTTTTTGACTGTAGGTTATAGTGAAATTTGGACAATTTATTATTAGAAATATTTCATATGACTAACTGATATTTGAGGGTGATACAGAAATAGAATGATTTGATTTATATTTCAGTACAAGTACAAGGAAGGCTATCGCAAGCAGCTGGGCCACCACATAGGGGCCCGTAACATAGAGGATGACCCGAAGATGATGTGGTCGATGCACGTGGCCAAGATCCAGAGCGACAGGG